GGCCGAGGCGGCCAGGGAGGAACAGCCAAGTGCCGGCAACCAGCCAGAACTACTGGGGCCGGCCCGTATTGAAGAATACGGCCGAATTTACCCGGGCTGGCCGAGAAAGGCGCACCTCCAGCCTTCCCCGCAACCGGGAGAAGCCCCCTCCCTTTTGCAAGGTCGCCCCCTCCCCGCTTTTGGCGTGGGGGAGAATTGAGAGAGAGAGAGAGACAAACACACACACACACACACAAAGAGGAGAGGGGAGCCGGCCGGCCCACCCGTTTCCCCCTTTCCCTGCGCGAGCGTGTGTGGATTTCCCCCCCTTTTTTTCTGCCCACCTCTCTCGCCCGCCCGCCCGGTTCCAGCTTCTCACTATCCAGGCGTTTCTGCAAAGCGGTCGAGGGAGGGGGGGCGGTTGGTGGGAAAAGAAAAGATGGAGCAGCAGCCAAGGGTTTATAAAGCAAGCGGCGGAGTCCTGCAGCTCAGAGGCGACACGGGGGGAGGGAATCGGAGCTAACCGAGGAAGGAGGCGCTGCTGCTGCTGTTTCTGCTGCCGCCGCCGCCGCCGCCAACCGGGGCATAATACGGTAAATAAATACGAGCGTAGGGGATCCGCGCGTGAACGAAGCCCCACTCCCCCGCCTTTTGCTTTCACTCCCGAGCCGGCGCTTTTGAAAAGGGCTTGACTCCAGCCTGGGATTCGGAGCGGGAGACGCCGCCGCTGCTGCTGCCGCCCGCGCTGCTGTGGACTTACAATATCTGAGCAAAAGACTTTGCAAAAGACCACCCCGCCAAGGGGGAAAGGCGCGCAGTTGGGCACCGTCTTCCTTCGGCGTCTCTTTAAACGGTGCTCGGATATTGTAAGTCCACAAAGAACTGGGGAAAAATATTGACTCGAGTATAAGCCTAGGGGGGCATTTTTCAGCTCAAAAAATGGGCTGAAAAACTCGGCTTATACTTGAGTATATACGGTAAATATTTCCAGCGTTATGCAACTTCTTGTTCTACTGTTCGGGACAATATTTATGATAAATTCAAAACATACTGTATAAAACATAAGCAATTTCTATTCACAATGACTGACATGCATATAATATAATCTAGCTTATACTTCAAAATAACTGTAATGCAAAAGTCAGTCTACTTTTCCTACAATTATATTAAGGAGAAAAATGATAAAATTAACATCTTACATGACTTGTTCCTGACTCTCTCCACCAGGATAAGGATGAGCAACAACAGAAATGCCTGCAATAATAATGAAATACATTTAGGGTCTTTATTTCAGGTGCTAGTTCAAAAACTGAATGATTTAACAGTTTTAAATTTCTGCCATTAAGGTAAAAGGCAGCTAAAATGATCTATAGCTCAAATGCTGAGAAAAAGAATATTTGAGAACCTAGTTTAGAAAACAAAATGAATGAGTGGGATCAAGATGTATAAAACCATCTTGATTGAGAAAATGGAGAGGGGAATTTTTTTTCAAGTATCAAATGATCAGGGTTATCCAATTCAGTTTATTGGAGAAAGATTTAGAACAGAATAAAGAAAATTATTCATATAATGCATAATTAATCCATGCAAAATGTTCCTCCTACTCTTTTGAGTCAAAGGCATTCTTTTCCCAGTTTTGAGAGCTGAAGATGTCTGTTTTATGTTTACACAGTGACTCTGTGTAGCTTGAGAAATGTTGATTTCCACCTCATCAACCTGAGTGGTGGAGCAGCATTCCTCCAAACATCAGTTAGAAGGGAACAACAATGGCAATGTATGTCTCCATCTAGGCATATACTCATAATGCCACAATTATGTGCAAACTATTTCTGAATTTTATCTCTGCCTAATGAACATTCACTGACAATTCTACATAAATTAGTCCAAACTTCTAAAGGCATAGATATTAAACATATTTATTTATTCATTTGTCAAATAAACGCCTCCAGAAGTTGCAAATGCTCCATCACTGGAGGTTTTTAAGAAGAAATTGGACAGCCATTTGTCTGCAATGATATGGATATAGGCTTGAGCAGCGGGTTGGACTAGAAGACCTCCAAGTTCCCTTTCTATTCTGTTACTGTTATTCTGTAAAATTTGAAATCACCTACCTCTCTCTCAGAGAAAAACTAACTTTTTAACATAAAAGACCATGAAAATGTGGCATTATTGTAAGATAGTATTAAATAGCTGGGCTGATATTTTAAAAAAATATTTAGTGATTAAAATTAAAGGAAAACGTAAGAATGAAGTTAATAAAAACATGCACGTTGGTGCCAAAACTTGTTGAACTGAAGAAGACGGTATGTGAAGATGCTGAAGGAAGCAATATACAGAAAATCAAAGATGCAAAAAAATAAGAAAAATCAGTCAGGTAGAAGCAAATAATATTTATATAAGAAAAAAATCATATGTGTTAAACAAATTTAAATTAAAAAAATAAAATTAAATTTAAACTTAAATTTGGTCAATATGACTGAATTCATTTTGACTGAAGCCAGGATGCCATTATTACACATATGCAATTTTTTAGAATTTGTTGGCTTGTGTTGCCAGGAACCGTGGTGGCACAATGGTTAGAATGCAGCATTGCAAACCAAAGCATGCTGACCAAGGAATGAGGAACATCTGCTAGCCAAGGTCACCCATCCAAGTGCAAAGCACAAAAGTCCATGAAAGCTTGTTACCTGAACAATATACCAGCATCTAATTGGACATTTATGGATAACAGGGGGGAGGGCCAGAGAAAAGGGAAAGTTAATTGCTTTATCTGCGTGCAGAAAACATCAGAACCAGCTTCCCTATTATTCTGTAACCATTTAAGCTCCAGTAAAGTATACTCTTGGCAAAACAAAGACCCAGAAGTCTTTCTTCACTGGATGAATGAATGGGACGGTTGACAGATGTCCTTCTGAGGTTGGTAAAATGAGGACCCAGATTGTTGGGTCCCATATGCAAACACTGTAAACCACTCAGAGAGTGCTAGAAAGCACCATAGAGCAGTATATAAGTATAAGTGCTATTCTATTGCTATAATTTGCAACATTCTTGTCCCCAGTATATGGGTATTACTATACTAAAAAGACCAGATAATCTTAGAATAGCAATAGATTGTAGACTGAGTACAGTATGAGCCAAAAAAGGGATAAAACATAAGAAAAGGCAAATGTAAATTTGGGCTCCATTAAAAAAAAAGCATAATTTCCAAATCACAGGAAATAAACTCTCCATCTTTATTTTATTTTGGTTAGATTCTACTCTGTGTACTTCACTGCATTTTGGATTTAACCTTGAGGAAAAAGTGCCAGTGGGAGGATATCACTTCCTCATTTACCTAGAGGGTGTCAACCGGTTGGAAGAAGACCTGTCCTCTCTCAATTTAAACTGTGGGTCAGGGAATGATGGATTGAAGTTACAGGAAGGCAAATTTTGGTGGAATGTTAGAGTCAGAATCAGATCAAATATGTAAAAGCTCAGGAAGAAATAAAAGCCCAGAGAGTAGTAAGTTAAAATGGAGGCAATGTATCCATCTCTCTGGGTTGCAAGTCCATGTCCTGGAATAGAAATAAGCTAACTATCATTTTATTGTAGAGAAATAATTTTTTATTACGCAGTTAGAGAATGTTAAGAATCTCAGAATGTGGACATCTGGATTCACAATTTAGTGATAAAGCATACTGGGCAGCTACCAACTTCATCTTGTCTTATTTCTCATTGCAATTGTTGGGAAAATAAAAAGGGGTGAGAAAGACATAGAAAAGCAATAATTGCATTTTTCAGTTTATGATTTTATAATTAAATAGTTATTCAAAATGTCTAAATGGATTTTCACAAACCTACCTTTTACTTCCAGTCAAAATTATCCCTGCTGAGCCCCAAATACCATCTAGGGAAGCTTATCAAACATTCTAAAAATCCATTTTTGATACAAAATGTTAACATAAAACCTAAATCAGTAAAATAGATTTTACTGCCTTTTCCAGTATCTGGAAAATTACTCTAGGTCATTTACTACATTACTCAGTTTTAAAGCTAGAAACCAACAATAGAGTGGTATGGTAGATACTGAGGTCATTGCTTGCAAAAATGGAAGTTTGAAAATGAATGAAATTAACTTAATCAAAAATATTAAAACAATATTTTGAAATTATTCTATTTTTATATTCTATTTATGGCTACTGAGCCTCTAGCTACTATTTCCCCTTTTCTTTCTCAGTTGGTTTAATAGTAAAGGCTTTCAAGAGTGATACTATATTACATTGGTGCCATGTCAAGAATTAGTATTCATTGGTATTCGTTTTGCTTGATTGAGGAGCTGTGGTGGCACAGTGGTTAGAATGCAGAATTGCAGGCTAATTCAGCTCGCTGCCAGGAGTTCTATCCTCACCAGCTCAAGATTGACTCAGGCTTCCATCCTTCTGAGATCAATAAAATGAGGAGCCAGATTGTTGGGGATAATTTACCGACTCTGTAAACAACTTAGAGAAGGCTGTAAAGCACTATGAAGTGGTATATAAATCCAAGTGCTATTGCTTTTTTATCCCATTTTTTTAATTGCTTCAAAAAACCCAATTTTTCTCTGATATTGATCTTCCTCATCAGTTATCCTTGTTGGTTAGTGATATCAATCCCACTGGAGTAAACATTAATTTCAATCAATATTTAAAAGCTGCAGTCTAGATCTTGGTTTCTATCCTAATTCTAATCTTAAAGCTGCACTGGGGATTAAAATTAGGAAACACAATGATAGGGTATTGATTGTTACTACCTACTTTAAAAACAATAAAATAATAATAGTTAACTTTTATCTGGACATTTCAAGAATTTCTGAACAGTCTTTTTGACAAAGCAAACATAAGCTATTGGCTACTTTAAATGGCTGATTGGAAAAAAATGCCTTCCAAGAACCTTTCTGTTTCAAATTTATTATATTCAGCATCCTTTATTAGTTGAGTGTATTTAAGATTCTTATTTTTTTTTAAAAAAAAAATACTCATTGTAGGATTTTCAGCTTAAAGCAATGCAGACTAATTTGCATTTTATTCAACAACCTATGGCAGAATTCAGAAAGGAATAAATAATGCCCTAGAAAGTATAAACCTTGGATTAACTATTCTGCAGTTTTGCAGATTCATTCTTAGTGGGGATGAACAGTAACATAATACTTCACATGTCTCAATGTATTTAAAGATAGGTGGAAAACTAAAGCTCTCATCTTGAAATTGAAAACTATGTGGCAGGTGGATACCTACCATATCCAGAGGTGTTTCCGTGTGGTAAGTTAGCATGGAGAATGAAGTTATTCAAGCTGTTAAGGTAGGCTGGGAGGCTATGATATCCTTCCGGATTATACCAAACCTATATTTAAATTTTAGATATAAAAATAACAGACAATATATATATATATATATGTATTTGTAATTTTGTGAATAAATTTGTAGCCAGTGAATCTTAGAATTCAGGTGAACAATGAGACAGAATATACCTGCAGGTCCACTCCATAAAACAACACTAAGAATAATAAAGTGTTTGTTTGTTTGTTCATATTAGAAGGGGTTTTGAAAAATCTGCAGGCCTCTAGATTGTGAATCCTTGGAGAACTAAAGTATGAGAACAGTGACTTGTCTAAGTTCAGTTAGTAAGTTCGGGACTTGTGTGTAATAGTTACAACCCACAGTTCCAATCTTAGAGTTTGTTTGTCTATTTATTAATTTATTTTTTTGTAGAAGCAAAATAAAATTTATATTAGCCAAAAAAATATTTGGAAAATTGAAACATAGTTTTTCTCAAAACTCAAACAAGAAGCAAGAAAGCAGGTCCTCAAAATGCTACTCCAGTTTTAGTAGAACTAGAGCTCTTTTATCCACAGTACCTGAGGACAGAAAAGGCATTTAAAATTAACTCTGCTGAGAAACCTCAGGTTAAGAGTCAATGTCCATTTCTACTAGAAGCAATTATTGTCAGATGAATTTTCTAGCCTTGACAGGCTTTCTCAGCACATTAGGAACTGGCAAACAAAAGTTCCTTTATTACACAAATGCTGATATGACCCAAATTAGATTTCCTGCTACAGCAGCATATACGAAGGTAATTTGAAAATAAACCTCTGTTTGATTATCAATGACAGACACTCGCAGATACAGAACTTTTATTATACATATTAGAAAACTACAACACTACATTACTTTTTGACATAATCGCCATTCAAATTGAGGCACTTGTCATAACATCCTACAAGGTTTGAAATTCCTTAGTAATAGTCGCTCAGTGCCAAATCTGTGCTATGGGGGTGCATGTGATCAAAAACATCCTAATGGAATGGCTTCAAAAGTTCTTGGGTGTGTCTAGTGCTGTGTGGGCAAGCATTATCATGAACCAACACCACACCGAAAGTCAGCATGCCCCGACGCTTGTTATGAATGGCTCGTCTTATGTTTTCATAACGTTTCACAGTAGACTTCTGAATTGATGGTCGAACCACGCTCCATGAACTTCACTAGCAGTACTTCTTTGGCATCTTCACATTTGGCACGATTTTCTATGGCATCACTTCTGATTTAGACATCTTAGATCTCATGAAATTAAATTCCATGGAAGTTATATAAGCCATAAAGTGTACATCATTTCTGACAGCTTGACATATCTGGGCAATGACTGATGGCACCATCAAGTTTTCTTTCTTTAAGGAGGTTTTCTATACTCTTGGACCATCTGGATATGCCAATCTCATATGTCCCATACCCATCCCATTCATGTTGGAGGCACTTCTGGATTGAAAGTTTCATGATAATGCTTGCCTGCACACCGCTAGACATACTCAAGAACCTTTGAAGCAGTTTCATTGGGATGTTTTTTATCAATCCCCCTATAGCTCAGATTTGGCGCCAAATCTGATAACCAAATGGAGGTTTATTTCTGAATTTCCCTCGTTTATTCCTTGAAGTATGAGAACAATACTGTAGAAAGAAAAAAAAACTGCAGCTAACACATTTGCTAGAATAGTCCCTCCCAATATGGACCATTATTTCCTAGACCACACAGTTAAAGGAAACATTTTATGTATATTGTATATAAAAATAATCTATTAATACAAAATTACAGTAGAGTTGATAAAATATAGTGAGCGTGAATCTGAGTTATAAATCATGAAGTTGTTTGCATCTCATGCCTTTCAAGAACCTGACAAGTTGCCTTAATAGAGCCCATTTCTCCAAGTCTCCATTTTTCTGTCTACAACACTTAAATAGTAATACTGACTTACCTGAGAAACTTGCAATAGGACCCTAGTTTTTAATGTAATTAAATAGTGAATTTTAACAAAATATATTATATACAAACTAAATTTAAGAAATCACTTATTGGTTTGCTATATTTCATGACAACGCAATGCCCATAGTTTACCTTTGTTACTGTTCTGTTAGCAGGCACTGGGCTTATATCAAACTGGAGATTACTAGTTAAAGGCAGCCCAAAACTCCAGCCACCATATCTAGACATGGAAGGGAAAAAAAGAACACCTTAGAAAATAAAATTCTCATGCTTTAGACATAGATTTCATGCAATTAAATTCCATGGAAGTTATATAAGCCATAAAGTGTACATCACTTCTGACAGTTTGACATATCTGGGCAATGACTGATGGTACCATCAAGTTTTGTTTTTTTTTTAAAGAGGTTTTCTACACTCTTGGACCATCTGGATATGCCAATCTCATATGTCCCATACCCATCCCATTCGTGTTAAAGGCACTTCCAGGTTGAAAGGATTAGCCCATGACATCACTGTTGCCTGGAGGATGCCCATAGGGCATTTTTCACGTCCCTGTCAAGGAGCTGGCATGACTGATGGGAGCTCACCCTAACACACAGCAGCACTTGGGTCTCGAACATGGGTTTGCTAACCTGCAACCCAGCATCCTAACCATAAGTCACCATGCTCCTAATATATCCCATGAAGGATTTCTTGTACAGAGAAGAGGAAGAGAAGAAGCTGACAAGGGAGTTGCAGGCTCAGGATTCAGATAAAAAGAAAATCCAGGCAATTCCCAGATCTTATGGAAATAAGGTACTCAGCTGCACCAACATGTTCTTTTCTACATACTGAAAGAGCTACCAGGAAGTGTATAATCTCAAGAGTTTAATTAAAACTAATGTATGTTTTCATTTTTATCTTTCAAGATTTATGGACTAATATTTTAAAAAAGAAGAGAAACAAAATAATTTTAGAATCCTAATTTGTTATGACTTTTTAAAATCAAAATTAAAGATTATGGCCGCAAGAATAATCTAAGCAATCTAAATCCCTTTTGTTCAGTGAACTGATGACTAAGAAATTATGCAAATATAATGTGCCAAACACTGTCTTGCTATAATAGATATTTAGAAATATCACTACAGATTACTCCTTTAAATTAAATTTTAATTATGTGATAGAATTAAAAGTATAAACATAAATGAAAGAAATGCAAATACTAAGGAAGACACCGATTGAGAAAAAGTGTTAACCACTTTGGTAAGAATGCACACACCCCATCCTTTTTTACTAAACCCCCCAAATCACAAGAATAAAAGCTCAGGAAAAGAAATACAGACAATGTTTCACTCATGAACTTGAGTAACCATGGTCATTGAGAAAAGCGGAAACATTGACTCAAGCCCACCTATTCACTAAAGGAGGCACGCTAGAGGCAACAGACAGACTAAAGATAACAGGATAAAATCAATTACATTTGTTTGACAGAATTAAGACCAAGGGAAGCCGATACTTATGACCAATCACAAGCTTTTTCTAAACAAGTAAAACCAAATAATAAAAGCATACAAAGCAAGCCTCAAAATTACAAAATACTGTAAACTGTATAAAAATCCTTGCACTCACCAAGCTAATTTGACAGCCACTCCAGAAACATGCTGCTACCTTTTTAATTTCTGGCTACCAAATAAACAAAGACCTTCTTTCTTGCAGCCTGCCTCCATTTTATTTCCAGTATCTTTCTCCTGGCTTGGGACCAGACCAGATTTTTCTTCCCACACCACCATATGTAGGACTTGCAACCCCATTCTCTCCCTGAACTAGTATGAGACGACATGGTGGTAACCAGATGCATCAGGAGAGGTGGTGGGGATCTCAATGGGACAACAATGAAATTAATGCTGCTTTGGCAATAACTTTCTGTTAAAGTTAAATAAAGCTAGCAAAGGACAGCAATAAGATAAATGGAATACCTCTTTTGAATAAAATCTCTGGCAGTAACTAGAAGATAAGTTTCTACATCATGCCCAGTAAGGTTATATATTGTCCGGGAAGAGAATGTTCTCTTGTGAGGTGGTGAAAAGTTCAGCTTTGAACAAGTCTAGAAATAAAAGGAATTTATGAACATGAGAGATTTTTATACCTAAAATTATATTATTTTGATGAACAATAAATATTAATATAAAATATTCTTTAGTGTCTCTATGCAATATTATTTTAATGAATAAAACTTCAAGCAAATGAAACAAGGCAAAGTTTTTTTTATTAAATTATAATTTAACAAAAAATAAAACCATGTAGACAAACTAATTTTCAACTGGGCAGATATACTTCCTATACTGTAGGGCAATTATTAACTACATTTAATTGTTAATCTACTAGTTCATCCTTTGAAATAAATCTAAAATTAAAAAAATTATGTAAGTACTATCTATATACGTTGTTCTTCTAATCTCAAGAACCATGATGTTTCAAGCAAATAATCCCTTTTACTTTTCTGCACATTTGCTTTCTTTCTATGTGTAGTATGGCCCAAACTGATTTTAACTGTGCAATTGTAATTAAATGGACATAATAGGCACCTCTGATCAAGCTTGGCCATGTAGTTGTCTTAGCAACAGTAGAGAAGTAGAAGCAGTTTGCTAGAATATTTTTTCAGCTTCTCAGTCTAATCTATGACCCTGGGTTTTCTGATCTAGCCCTGCTTGAGATCAATCAAGGTCAGTGAGGTGTTAACACATTATACCGTGTTTCCCCCAAAATAAGACCTACCCCAAAAGTGAGCCCTAGCTTGATTTTGGGGGAGGGCCTAATATAAGCCCTACCCTGAAAATAAGCCCCAGCTACAGTAGGATCCTCAGCCAGATGGGGAGCGCGGCCAGCTGACATCGCTTTTGTCGGGAGCACCTATGGGGCTGAGGAATATTTCTTCATCCCCCCTTACCTTCTCAAGTCCTCAGCGAGCCCCAGTCTCTGCCTGTCTTGTCTACTGGCCCTGCTGCTGGGACATTCCTCAGCCATGTCGGGTGCCATGTGGCTGCCGAGTGGCTGCCTGTGCTGCTTCTGGCCTCACGGGGGCTCTTTGCCCTCCTGGCCATAATGCTCTGGCCCACTCTGCTGGACTGTTTCTGCCTGGTGCGGGGCGAGTCGGATTTCTCTGTCCATTTCTCAGCTGCTGCCGCATGTTTCTGGAACTAAAAATAAAATTCAATCAGACATTCCAACTTCGCGATATTTTTTTTTTTTTGATGAGAAGTTGGAATTTCTGATTGAACTTTTTTTTAGTCCCATAAATACATGGCGGCGGCTGAAAAACATGATCCAGCTGAAAGGCAGGTTAGTGAAAAAATGCTTGAGGGAGGTGAGGGCATCTGGGCATCTGTGTGGCAATCTCTCCAGCTCTGCAGAGGCAGGAGCCAGGCAGGGGCAGTCCCATGCTCTTCGGGCCCTGGCGAGCACTGCAGCTCTCATATCAGCTATGCGAGGCAGGCATGGGGCTGCCCTTGGCCACTTTCAGCCTTTACCCTGCACAGCTTTGGCAGGTGTCTGGCAGGTGGAGGAAAACAACTCCACTCCACCGTCACCTGCCTCGCCTCACCTCATGGCAGTGGCACAAGCTGGTTGGGCCGGGCCAGGTGGAAAGTGAGCCGGCTGCAACAGCTGGTGAGGTAGAGGCCAAAAGCAGCCATGGCTGCCCCATGTCCACCTCGCACAGCTGAGATGAGAGCTGCAGCAGCCCAGTGCCTGCAGCACTAAGTAGATGTGCAAGCTGGCAATCCAGCAGCCCGAAGGCAGAGCTGTGGGCGATGCAGTTCCACCGGTGGCTGCTGGCTGCTGGCGAAGGGGCCCTGGCAGCCCGGCTGCAGGGGGGGCTCCGGAGGTTGAATGGAAGATCTGGACTGACTTGCCCCATGCCAAACAGAAGCAGCCCAGCAGGGTGTCCCAGAGCAGTGTGGCCAAGAGGGCAAAGGGCCCCCGTGAGGCCAGAAGCAGCACGGGCAGCTACATGGCACCCAATCTTCGAGACCGTCTTCTGCCGCAGATTGCCTCCCATCGACCGGTACGCTCCCACAGAGCGGGCCTCCTCAGGGTGCCGTCGGCCAAACAGTGTCGGCTGGCGACCCCCAGGGGGAGGGCCTTCTCTGTGGGAGCTCCCACCCTGTGGAACGAACTCCCCCCAGAGATCCGGATTATTCCGGATCTCCCCTCCTTCCNCCTAGGGGGGGATTTTATAGGGATTTTAAAGGGATTTTATAATATTAAACTTAATACAGGTTATTTAATATATATTTTAATTTGGCTTTTAGAGATATTTATTGTATTGTACTGTTTTTATTTACCTGTAAGCCGCCCTGAGTCCCTCGGGAGAAGGGCGGGGTATAAATGGGATTAAATAAATAAAATAAATAAATAAATAAAATGTGGCCGAGAAATGTCCCAGCAACAGCAGGGCCAGGAGGCAGGGCAGGCAGAGACTGGAGCTCACTGAGGTTTTGGTTCATTGCGGTCGCAGGCAAGCAGATGGTGGGACAGAGAGGGCGGGTCTGATAGTAGCAGTGCTCCCTCTTCTGTTGGCCCCCACATTCTCTACCTCCTGTATGTGAAAATAATAAGCCCTACCCTGAAAATAAGACCTAGTGCATTTTTTGGAGGCCAAAAAAATATAAGATTGGGTCTTATTTTTGGGGAAACACGGTAGGTAGAGTGTAAAGGCAATTCCACACTGCAGCCTAAGATGCTTGCCTGCCTCTCTACATGCTGTTCCCAATTCTTTTTGAAGTCAATGCCACATCTTCCAGGCCAGATTGTGTTGCAAGATTAGATTGGCCATTCCTTGCTTCCTGCCCTTCTCAACCTGGCAGAGAAGATAAAGCCCAATGACTGGCTTCTGTGTGAACTGGTCTACCCCGCCTGCTTTTTATTCTTTTAGGGATTGTTTCCTCTTTCCTAGTCCCCACCCCCACTTCCATCCTCATTCTCCTCTGATACTAAAACAGACCCTTGTTGTTTATTATATTTCTCCTCATGGTTCCATTGTTGCTATGCTACAGTAATCAAAACAATTAAGAACAGCTTGTTCTTTTACTCATATGTTCCTCTGTAGAAAAATTGTAGAAAGGAAGAACTGATAATTTGCTTCTCTGAGCTTGATTGTTTTCTTGCAGATATTTCATTATCCAACTAGGTAACATCATCAGTGCTAGATAATAGAAATTAACATTATATTTAGTTTTGTCTCCAAGACTAACACTGTAGTTTTCATGTTTGAGAAGGTGAAGGAAGATTCTACTGGAAGCAAGTTATAACCATAAATTACCTTGCCATGCATATTGTTAATAGCAATAGCACTTAAGACTTATACAATGCTTTACAGCCCCCTCTAAGCTGTTTACAGAGTCAGCATATTGCCCCTAATAATCTGGGTCCTCATTTTATCGACCTTGGAAGGTTGAGTCAACCTTGAGCCAGTGAGAATCAAACTGCTGGCAGTCATCAGAATTAGCCTGCAATACTGCATTTTAACCACTGCGCCACCACAGCTCTATTAAAAACTTATTTTTCACTTCAATTCTCTTAATTCCACTACTACTACTACTACTACTACTACTACTACTACTACTACTACTACTACTACTACTACTACTACTACTACTACTACTACTATTAAAATTAAAATTTGTTTGCCTGGAGCCACTCAGAATCAAACTCCTGGAGTGGGCAGTGAGTTAGTCTGCAGTACTGCATTCTAACAACTGCACCAATAAGTCTCTTAAGTAATGTTAAGTAGTATTATTAAATGAAAATACTATTAAATTGCCAGCTTGGGAAATTAGCTTTTATAAATATGATGTTAAAGATATCCGTTTTTCATAAAGTTGGGTTTGGTCTTAGAAAAAAAAATCCACTTATTTAATCTTCATTTGAACTTTTAGTCTTTTTTTTTAACTTCTATTTTATTTTGACCTTATCGCATGAGATTCTAATTTGAATTTACCTCTCCATTGAGTGTGCAATTGCAGGCAGTATACTGATCACTCTGATTTCCACTGAATATCCACTTTTCAGCCACATCTTCCTTGAAACATGTTCTGAAAGTAAGCAGATTTAACACTGACATTTCCTATAAATTTGTATACACAGCATAGTGGGAATTTCCCAGATAATGCAGAACACTAAGCAGGAATGCCTCATTATTTATTAATTTCCTAAAGCTTTTCCAAGGGAAACTAAATTTGATCAGCTCCGCTTGGTTCTTACTGGTTTAACTATTCTTCTGTTCATTTATTTTTATTCAATATTAAAATTGAGTAGAAAAGTTTTAATAAGACCTTTTATATAAGCAAAAAATTATCTACAGTAACACTACATTAAGAAATATTGGAAGCAGAAGGGAATCTTGTGCCTGAGAGACTAATACTTGCTTACCCATAAAATCCTATGATACAACTACTGTATGTATAGCCCATGCCACAATTAGTTACAGTATATGTACAAATAAATATTAAAAGGGCCCACATATCATTTTTTTTGTAGTTTCTGTGAGCCCCGTCCAACAACAGTTGAAAATCAGAGGCCTAATTTTTGCCATTTTGTGTGTTGGAAAACACACAAAAACTATAGTGTGTGCTTTTAAAATAAATTTAGCACAGTTTGAAAAAGATAAACAAAGCCTGACTTAGTCCATTTTGCATCCTTGCCTTTACTCTTCCCTAAATGTCAAGAGCTACAGAGGCACACAAAGGTTGTCCATTCATGGGCTAATCAAATGCTCCCTCAAACAGCAAGGGTGACAGCTTTTTAAGGCACTGGATGCCATTATGTGATGTAAAATGATAAAGAAGGCTCTGACAACATACGTGTAAAAATGACCAAATACACCTAAGTTGTCATCCATTTCACCACTGAGATTTCATGTAAGAATATCAAAATTGCAGTTTTCTTTCTTGCAGAACTCTTAAAAGAGCTCATAAAAGTCTCTTATTGTGTTTAACAGAAGCTTTCAATCTTTTTACTTAATAAGTAATTTAATTTTGGTAATCTATGGACACCATTCAAAACTTACTGACTCCTATGCCACAAGAATCTTCACACATCCCTATTTCAACCCTCCTCTTTCATCAGTGACTGTAACTTGATAAAGTTGCATTCCTGCACTCCTATAAACCTCTTCTGTCAATCAAGCATAATTCAAAGGGATTTACTTCTGACTAGAATCTGTAGTAAGACTGCATCTATGCTTACTTAACACTATAATGAGTTCCATTCGTTGGAAATAAACAAATATTTAAACATGCTTATTATGCATGATTTAGGTATCAGCCTGTTTGAAGTTCTTGGGTTTATTTTTGAATTATTCTAGTTAATAATTTATATTGCACTACTGCTGAACTACAAGGTTTAGCAACAGCAAAAAATCTAAAATATCTTAATTTTGACAACACTTAACATCAGTGAGACCTGTAAAACTAAATTTGGTATTTTGGTGAAGAATATTGCACATTTAATATTGGATATTTAATTGGACCAAATTTTGATAGAAATCACTATCTGTTGCTAGAATATTTGCTGATGTTGGCAGTTGGATATAATAAATCTGCAGATTATCCTGATGACTCATACTTTTCAGTCATTTGTCTTTTTAGATGAGGCTAAAGGTAGGAAGGAGATTATTATTTTGTTATTCTGAGAGTTACTTACAAATGGAGAAAAGCTACTTACAAATTACTTCTGTTTAGACAGGTATTAGCTATTCCAGGAAAAGAGAGCATTGAAGCAACCAAAGCATCTGTGGTTTGATTGTAATTCCTAAACACACAAACAAACAAAATGATTAACTGCAATTTCAAGGCAACCATAAGTAATGAACAGGATAGTCAACATTCTTTTGAATCCCTATATCCCATGTTAAAACTGAATGACAATGGAAATTGAAGAAAGCTATTTTAGTCAGAATACTAAAACCTACACACACACACCAGTTAAATATTTTAACATTGTAATTTCTTCTGGTTTTTATTGTTTTGATGTTCCTTGTTTTTGAAGGGATTATTTTGAATTTATTTATTTATTTAAATAACTTATTTATTTATTTATTTATTTATTTATTTATTAATTTAATTTATATCCCGCCCTTCTCCTTACGGACTCAGGGCGGCTAACAACCCGATAAAACACTAATCCCCAAAAACTACAAATTAAAAACATAAGTAAAAACAAATATTAGTAATTTGGTCAAGTTAATTTAAAAATTGCTTTAAAACCCCATTAAAATTTACCCCTAGGCCAGTCCTGCAAGTTGGAATAACCATGTCTTAAGGGCGCGGCGGAAGGAAGGGAGATCAGGGATCACCCTGATCTCTGGGG